GCTAAACTCCATTGCTTACACATTTGCTTACCAAACTTATCCATGACTCTGCAAAAAGTGGTGATACGGACCGAATTTTGCGGTACAGAAGCCGGGTGGATCCGTTTAACGCGCAATTTCTGAGGGATCCACTCAACGAATCTACTCGTGCTTTTGCATGTTGGACTTTCATGAGGGTAGCATGCGCTTACAAAATTTGGGCTTAGAACGCTGGCTGGAACATGCTCCACGAATTTCGTAACAGACACACACACACACAAAGTCACGTAAACATCCTTAGCCCGTTGTTATAAGTTATGATCATTGCAACAACTCTCTTTCCATTCTTGCAAAAGTCCGCAAAAAAATAAATTTGGGACATTCATAATTTTGAGCCGTTATTAAATTTGCAGGGCAAAACAAGACTAAAGTGAATAATGCTATCATTGAATTCTTGTGTTCTGAGAAATAAGCATAGAAAAATGGGAAAAAAGATCGACTCCGATCACGTTTTCGGCAACATTCATGTAGAATACTTTTGTAACAATGGCTCAAAAAGGAAGGCGCAAAACATTATGCGTGACTAGATTTATCAAAGGAAGTGCTGTGTAACACTCGTCGAACCTCGAAAGAGAATTGAAATTTATACAATGTAAAAAATAAAACACCGATCCAGAACACATCATTGTCCTTGATCGACATCGACTATCAACACCAGTACTGACAGTTGCTTTCATGTGGAATGAGATGTTGCCTGTTTCTTGTACATGTCACGTTATTAATGTCAGTAAGAAACAAAAAACACTTTATATTGCATTTCTTATTTTGTTCGGCAATTTGTCTAACTTCGGTTTGCCTGTGTTTGATACATGCTCCGTAAAGAAAATTCTATTTCCAAACTGGTCTGAGTCAAACTTTGCACACATACACTTGAGACGGTGAGAAGGTCGTGCTCTCGTTATCGATAGCATCAAGGGGGATTTTTCCAAACTTGGGGCACGAGGGTGAATTGGCATGAATTGGCATGTAACGTGTAATGTAGGAGTTAGTGTGTGTGTGTGCACACTGAATTCAAGTAAAATTTTTTAAAATAACACATTTTCTCTCGATCATTCCATTCTTTGTAAACTTTGGGATGGGTACTAAAACTCAGGATAACATGAATTTTCGCTGGGCGGGAGGAATGCAGCTTAAAAGAAAGCCTCATTTTTTTAAGCTTCTGATTTCCGGCTGTCTAATCATCCGCAAGAGCTCCCGTTACCCTTTCGTATAAACATGATGAACCAAAACGAGATGTTGCCTAAACCATATTTTTGGCAGATTTGTCTCATCACTTGATAATCCTCAGCGACGACCATCTTTTTTTCAAAATCATTTTTCCTCGAAGTTGATGTCCAAATGTTCAGAGCTTTATAAGCTACAAAGCTTTCTTCAAAGCTGCGTTACCCTTTAAGGCAGATATGTCATTGCATGCGGCCCCAATGTTTGCTTCAAAATTTTGCGTAACGCGAGGCAAAACACGTGAGGCCGCGAAAATATCATTACTATTATAGAATAAATGAGTGCAGCTATGGATTACAACAAACACTAGTAACCTTATACAGGTAAATATAGTACCTTATAGTTTTTATTATTAGGTTAGCATAGTTCATGCGATCTGACAATTTGCCAGATGTCTTCAATTCAACCACAAATTTATAGTGTGCATAGTTTTTGTAGATTAATAAAACGCCCTTTCTTTTGTTTATTCGGAACGGTCTTACGACTGGTTCTAAATAGCTGGAATATGCAGAACTGCAGTGCGATGAAATCGCGAATATTTCGGGAACTTAGGCCAGCTAGACATCGACCACTGGCAATATTAGAGAATCTAGTCCATTTCCTCGTTGAAAAATTATATGAGTGACCTCATTACTTTGCTTCATCTCAATAAGACCATATTACTTGCTGCATACAGGATTTATGGCTTTTGTTTCTTGGGGAACGGTACCTTGTCCCTTATGTTAGTGTTTACGCGACATACACTGCGAACAATTCAGCCTTCCTGGCAAAATTGTGCTGTGGGTGTCTAAATGCCAAACAAGAAACGAAATTCAGTTCAGTTTGAATTTTTGGTGATGTATAAATCACCTCTCTTTTGAAGTCTAAACAGCTAGTTGGACTTTTCCGCCCTAAAAAAACTTGTCAGGCAATGTCATTTGGCATCACAATTTATATCACTACCAAGAGTTGTACAGTATATATATCGCCGAAATTGTGATAAAACTCACTTTTCTTTACTCTTGTATTATCCATGTGACTTATTTCCCAACAGAGACTATATCCCTTCAATTCGGCACATAGCTTCCAATGTGTGTCAAACAGAAGGTTGTGCCAGCTTAAATTCTTTATGGCCAGTGAGCTTCTCGGTGCAGCAGTAAAGTCCGTGTCAATTACGCCCTCTATTGCGTGGAGATCACGCATCCGCAATGCAACGATCATGCAGACCTTCAGTCGCTGAGGTGATGTAAATGCGCAAGTCATTTTCTTCCAACATCGCACATCTGTTTCGATTGCGACGGGAGTACATGACTGACACTTGATGAACATTACCGAAAGGAAAAAACTTCCAAATTCTAGGACAAGAATGAGCAAAACCTGCATAAAACGGCGTGAATGGCAGAAAACTAAGCATTCAAGAAGGTATTAACCTTAGTTTAAGCTATTCGTCTTCTTGTGAACTTGGTTGCATAAAAACTTGCTACTCTTCTCAGATTTTATCTGTAAAAAAATTCACAGTAGCATTGTACAGATGAGTAAATTCTCCTCTTAATATAGTTTGCTTGCACTGCAATAGAATGAGGTAAAATTTGCGAGGAACGAATAGCTACCACTGTGACGCCGGCCATTTGGCGCGCAAAATGCTGGAGTTGCTAGCTGTCCACACGCAAATTTTACTGCCTGCAGTGCAAGCACACTATAACAAGAGGAAAATCTGCTGGACTGTGTGCTGAGCGCTGTATGCTCGAAGTTCCTGATGTAATTCAACATTGAAAAGGAGTAAATCATTAGTCAATTGTAGCTATCCCAGGGCCCGGCACGTGTTTGTTTGGAGAATTTTTGGAAACGAAGTCCCTCATAACTTCGCGAAAATCTACGAAGTCCCATTTGACGTAAAAATCAGTAGAAAAACCTCACTCAGTCAATGTAACAATAAAAAAGCGAAAAAAATCGCGTTTTGAAGTATCTGTTAGGTTGTCAAGAAAATAATGTCGTTTCTATTTGCTTTCTCTAGCAAAGCAAACAGACTCAACCCAACAAAGGATAATGGGTATTGTTTGAATGAGAAGCAAGCTCTACAAGATGGAGTTCATGGTTTTGCGCTAAGCTCGATCTACGGAAATTTCGAACTCAAAATCCGAAGTTTTCCAAATGCCCAAAAATCGAAAAATCAGATCTTCGTCCAAATATTTTCTACGGACCCCCCACTCGCACTCTTCATTACTTTCGATATCTGATATCCATATTTGCAGTTGCTGTACTTTTTTCTTGACTGGAAACTGAGGAAACGAAAATTTCCTTGATATTCTCAAAGCAACGCTGAGCCGATCTTGCAGTTCTATACTACAAGCCTAGGTAAGCATAACTGTAGATTTTCAGTCTATTCCGAGCGGTAGTTTTCTAGAAATGTCGCTTTTAGCACTAAAACTCAGAAGAAGAAAGCTGATTTCGATATTTCTCCAAGACTACTTCACGGAATGGCTGAAAATCTACAGTTATACTTATATAGGCTTGTAGTATAGAATCACATAAGCAAGAACGGCTCAGCATTGCTTTTAGAAAAACATGAAAATTTTCGTTTTCTCAGTTTCTAGTAGAGGAAAAAGTACAGCAACTGCACATATGAATATTAGATATCGAAAGTAATGACGAGTGCGAGTGGGGGCCCGTAGAAAATATTTGGACGAAGATCTGATTTTTTTCGATTTTTTGGGCATTTGGAAATTTTCAGATTTTGAGTTTGAACTTTTCGTGGGTCGAGCTTGACGCAAAATCATGAACGCCATCTTGTAGAGCTTGCTTTGCTCATTCAAACAGTACCATTACCCTTTGTCGGGTTGAGTCTTTGCTAAAGAAAGGTTGCTTTGCTAAAGAAAGCAAATGAAAAACGACATTATTTTCTTGACAACCCAGTAATAGGACAAAAAGCAAAAGAAAAAGACATTCCGAGTTGGCTTAAAGGCTCTGTCAGTGAGTACGGTATCATCTTAATGCTCAGAATTTCGAAGACCTCCTAGGCCAAACAAATCCGTGGCCTCAATAATTTGGCAATGCACTTTTCGCCAGATAGTTCAAAGGACACCGCATGTGATTGAAGGGCGATATCTATCAACGCGTAGGTTTACACTACTTTCGGCTCAAAAATTGCTCTCTTCATTATATGATTAATTTTTAATCGCCTCAATCGTCCAAATCAAAAAGGGCAAAAACTTATGTGAACTCTCCGATATTTGTGCTTTAAATCAATCCAGTTGGTTTGGCGTTAGTCTAGAAACCAACCAACATCGAGAACGGGTATTAGGACGCATAAGTTGGAACTTCTTACATAATATAGTTCGAATTGACATTGTGTACATATCGACTGAATCCGGTTTCATTTGATTGTTTGTGCGCTGTAAACAAGCCAATTCTTTGTTTGAGTTTTGCGGAAATTCGCGCGCTTGCGAAAGAACAAGTTCAACTCGTAAAAACTGACATGTTTGTCGTTTTTCGGCGCTCCGCCCAGGACTTATGAAAACAACATCCCCGTTGCTTCTAACCTCAAGAACAAAGTCCAGTTTGACCCCGGACTATCTGTGCCGGCCCCGAACTAGCCCCATTGGAGAGTTCTCAAAAGGGTTACTCAAAATTTGATAGTGACAGGCTTTTGACAAAATTAGTGCCTCTGTACAAATCGAGCAAAGCGTTGCATTTATAGCTATGGTGGACGTCAACAATAACGCAATGTTCTTGATCGAGTATCACTCACTGTCAAAATCTTCATTTCAGAATGAGGGCAAAGTCAACGCTCCTTATCGTAGCGACATCATTCCTCTTGATTGTGATGACACAATCTGTGGAATCAGTACCAGGATTGAAATGGAATATGGGATCAGTATCAGTATGGAATCAGTATCAGGATTCAAATGGAAACTGGATCGTTCCATATCAGCTCGATTCTTCTTACAGTAAGCTGACGCTGTTACTTCCATATCGTAGCGATTCACACAGTTATTTATTTGAAGCTAAAGGCATACTTCAGCGCTCCAGTCGCTGCGCGATTCTGAACAGGAACGACAGTTTGAAAATGATGTCGCCACTGCGGTTTTTTTCTAGTGGACCTGACTCGTCTGCAATAACTTGCAAAATCTAAGACTTCGTGCATTTGAGTCAGTCCGCGCATAATCACTTTGTAGATCTGGCAGGTTGCCAAGTTGCACGAACGTCGCTAATTGGGGTCGCGTGAGGTAAGCCTTAGAGCATCAGTTTCGCTACCACTATCAAAAGTCAAGTCTAATGTTGTTGCCGTTTCTCAAGCAATTTGGTCATTACCCTGAAATGTGTCCTTAAAGAATCTAGACAACGCCATGCAATCGTAGCTGCTATGGAGACAATTGCCGCCAACACTTGCATTGAATTCAGACCTCGCACGAACGAAAGAGACTATATGAATTTCGTCAACGAGAAAGGCTTGGGATAAGTTACTCCCCTGTCTAGCATTTATGAGTATTATTAGTATTGCTAAAGTTTCTTCTTCCTAATGGTGCGTTTAAGCTACTACTGTACAAACATTCGTCCTGTTTTGCCAGAAACACTGCACGACACACTTCTGTACTTTTCCAAAGGTTAATCTTGCAGATGCTTCGCAAACGGAATCGGAAGAGATGCAGGAGAGAACATTGTAGTTCTTGAGGCAAACGAGGATACAACGTGAGATAGCCTTCGCAATCAACGTTCACTAAAAGCAGTTCTCAGAAGCTTCTACTGCGAGGGTGGCAGCGTGATATTGATAATTCTGAAGCGTCTAGGACTTTTTGGTGAACATAACCGAGTAGACAGGGATAAATACATAAAAGTGCACTTGGAAAACTTAGAAGGTGCCTTTTGAAAATTTTTAGCGAAGAGTAGTGAATCACATCTGTCCCTTTCAGATCCAGAAATGAACAACGATTACAGGATAGAAACCTTTACAAATAGGTATATCAGCGTTCCTTACGACTACTACTCCATCACCCATTACGCTAAAAATGCTAACGCAAAAGAGGGCACGATTGTCATTGAAACACTTGATCCTGCATTCCAGGTGACTTTTGGTTTCTAATCAAGCAATGAAAACATAAGAATGCATTGAACAATCGATTTAGAATATTATCGGACAAAATACTGACCAGCCAACCGCGCGCGATTATGAGAAGATCAAGGTGCTTTACCAATGCATACAACCCTAAAAGGATTGCCACAGTGAACTGCAAATCATAAAGTGTTGATAATCTGTTCTGGAACTTCAAGGATCAATGAAGCAAACCCTATCAGGAAGCTATCTTAGGTCTTTAGGACCTGACCATCGTATAGTTGCAGTTTTAATGATATGTAAAAATCAGTTAAATTGGAATTATTAGAGTAGTAGTTGAGTTGATTGCTCATTCTTAACTTCTTTTGAGGTAGCTTTTCCGCAAAGTACGCTGTCCCACTCAGGTAGGCCTTTGTATGGAAGTGACAACGTCTCGGAAGAACTTAGACAGTGCCCAAAGTTATATGAGAACGGGGATAAGGAGGAAAAAGTGATAAAGTCTTAGATTTATTGATTATGCCAAAACAGCTGAGTAAGTATGGCGCAAAATTAAACTTCGAGAAGTGGTTTTTGAGTTTACGAAGAAACGTCCAACTATACCCTATACATTATCTCCTATACCATGCTTACTATTCTCTACAAATCTTAACATGATCTCAGTGCTGTTATATGGACACGTAGAACCACCGCTCTGCTAGCCTTTGTATGTTAGGGTGATCCAAAAGTAATGGGGCACCTAGAGAATAAATAGACTTTTCTCAAATAAAGAAGCTAATTGGAAGTCCAAGTTTTGGCAGATGTTAGTATATATCAAAACCTTCTGATCGAGGTCTGTGGTTGGGCACTGTCACATGGCGTTATTCTTATAAGCGCTTAAAATCAAAGCTCATCACTCCAAGTAATTTTGAACTTTGAGCAGCAGCGCCGCAGTAGAGCAAGTGAGCTTACCAAAGATATCTGCGCAGCAATGGGTGGGGGGACTGTCATCAAATCCACGATAGCTCGGTGGTCCTAAGGCTTTAGAACAGAAGATATAGCATTGGATATCAGGAGACATATTACTTATACATTCACTAAGGTAATCAAATAAGCTCAAATTCAATAGTTGCGTTCTGATAGTGCTTTTTGCGCTCTATCCATACATATGCAAACTACTCAGACTCTTCTCATTTTCAAAAAGTTATGGGCCAAAACATGAATTTTAGTCTGGAAATCCGCGCCAAACACCGCACTTTTTCGAATAAAGTGTCTATTTTGTATGAAATATTGGGCAATTTTTGAATATTCAGGTAATCATTAGAAAGAGCTTGGAAAGCTCTTTCGAATGCTATGCCATATGTCGAGGGACTTTCAGGTGCAGCAGCACAAATTCGGATGGCGTTCAAAAAAGTCTGTCTGACTTCTTTGAAGCGCCGCTCGAAGAAATGTCGGTGAGGTGGTGCAAGGTGCTGTCAAGATAACCTGCGAAGGTCACTTTATACAAAGGCGTTTGAATTGCTGGTCGTTCACAGCTATCAGAAAGAGATCTTAAAGAATGTTTGAAAAATCAAAGTGTCCCATTACTTTTGGATCACCCTAGTAATTAAAAAGAGGCATTTGAAAGGAAACAGAAGGCCGTTTAAATCTTCGATGCTTGCAAACAGACTTTACGGTGGTTTACAATGTAGCAAGTGGTGAGACAATGGCTTGAAAAACGTGGGAGGTACACAACCTGAACTCCATAAAATCTGTTAATGTTTTACGTTTTTTCGAGGGAGGCAAAACTCTTTATATAGCCTGTATGCTAGAGCGGATAAGCAATTTTGTGTCTTTGGATGATTTTATGACTTCAATTGTAGTAAAATCGCTGTTCATGCACATTATGTAAAGACGCGCAAAAGAGGTTGTGTTTTAAAGTGCTAGCCTGAAATTCAATTCGATTTACCATAACTCCCTCTAAAAACGATTGCTGCGAGTCTAATAAATTGTGTCGCAATTGGAAAAGATTTTGTAGTTGAAAATCGCCAGACATTGTTTTGGTATCTCAACTTTGACAACCCATAAGTCGATGTAGAATGACGCGTAAGATCGCACGGCACTGTTCGTTGTGTAGTCACCAGAAGTGGGGTAGGCGGGTCTCTTTTGTTGGAGAACCACGAGAACAGGCGACCGCTCAAGTCCGAAGAGTTTTAAAAAGCACACCAATTGGGAATTGTCACCTTCCGCACCACACCCTCGCGAAGGGTAGGCTGACAAGGCACAATTCGTCCGGGTCGCTTCCACCGAGCTTTCAAAAAACAGAGTTTTCGAGCACTTTATGCAGCTTTGGAGTTAGACATTGACAAAAAGACTTGCAATAGGCAAAAATCGTGACAACCAACTGATGAGGCACTGTCTTCAATAAAAAGTACTACTACTTCTTTGCACGCATAAGTCGTTTATCCCATATTTCGCTTTTAATATCGCGGACTAGAGACCAATCGGCCTAACACTCTTGCGAAAATTATGAGGTTTAGGCTATCGAGTATATTTATTCTTGCCTTTTTCGCGTTTCGTGTAGTGGCGCAGACCTAGCATGCTACGTAACCCAATATCTTCGCAGCATTTTCCATTCGCATAGGTAAGGAGAACGACTATATCATTCCGTAGAAGAAACGATTCTCAATGAAAGATAGACACCTGGACACTGCCTTCAAGGCGAAACGCTTATTAATTAAGCGTTGGAATGGTCAGAATACACCACGTTCGCAATAGCCTTTAAAAGGAATTAAGGTCGGCTGCAACCACACGTTCAAAAAAATTTTTACAAGGTTAAATCCAGTTTTTGAGAGTTTCAGGAATATTTCAATGATTGACAAGCGTAGAAAAGTTTTTGCTGGATATAATTCATGTGAGTATCCATCAAGAACCTTCAGGATCATTCCCGACGGGGTCTTTCCACTAGTCCATGATGACCTAAACCAGGGTGGTATGCTTGACTGTTTACACTAAGTAACAAAGATCGGTACACTTCACATTTGCACTCAAAACTAGAAAAGGTGGAGATTCGCGCGGGTGGGTACTCACTTGTTCACTCGAAATCCGCCCACTTCAATGCTTTTCCTTCTATTTCCCACTCCAAGGGGAAATTAATCGGCTTTGTTTAGATTTATTAGACTAGCGACCCTACGGGTCGCTAGTAAGTGGCTTGGGGCAGATACATTGATAGCTGTCTGCGTGCAACTAAGAATAGCAAGGGAATGAATTCCCATTTTTTCGACGATCTTTTTCGCAATGCAAGTAGTAATAGAAGCAAGATCAAGCTCAAGGAAACTTTTTACAGGCGACTAACTATCAAATCGTATACACTGTTCTTGTTGCAAAGACCCAACCCCTGCTCCTAAAAATGGAAATCGCCTAAGCAGTCATCTATGCAGAAAGCTGATTCAACCCGAAATTCAGGCTGACCTTCAGGAATATGCGACGGCCGCAAACACATCGAGCTTCGCGATCATGCACAGTCCTACACTCTGCTTATAATATCTCGCGAAGTCATTTCTTGAGGCGAGATCAAGTTAGCTCAAAGTTTCTTTTGGACAATCTTACCAAAAAGGTCCTGCCTCATAGACCGAGACCACGAAACCAAGTCCCCTTTCTTTTTTTGCTAAAGGGGGCAGAAGTATTCCGCGAAGTAAAAGCGGCCAAAGTGGGTTTCAAGCAATATTTTTGATAAGTTAGCATTGATCTTGCCGCATAAGCCCTCGGGACCTTCCTTCCCTCGAGTCCAAGTTTGCTTTGCTTCTTTATTGTAGGAGGCAGAGGTATGATTTCTGCGTAGTAAAAGCGACCAAATTGGATTTCAAGCGAGGCTTTGTACAGTTTAGCATTGAAACTGAGAAGTTCTTAGCAGAAACTGCTGCATGAAACCCTTAGGCCTTCCTTTCCTCGAGATCAACCTCTCGCTTTGCTTCTTTGTTATAGGAGGTATAATTTCTGCGAAATATTAGGCTGTAGAGGAAGATCCGGGCACTTTTAAAAATTTCCTTTTTTGTTGCATTTTTTTGCCGCTCTGTCAATATCTGACACCGAGTTTTTATACTGTTAGGTAGAAGGAAGCCTAGTCTTTTCGAAGCCGCTTCTAATTTTCATCGATGCCAAAGCATGTATGATCCGCACATCAAAAAAAGGAAAGCTTTCTTTCTAACCATGACAATTTCACAATTTTTTTCCTGCGGCCATTTTTTTGTGAAGTTCATAGGTTTTCGTCCAAATTGTGTGCGATCCAATAGAGGAGACGTTAGTTCTGCGATTGCGCTCAGAAATTACAAGCTGTCAAACTTGCCTCTGACTGCAACTATTTTCGCAGCTGACATCGCTTCTGCGGGGATCGCCATTGGGTCCAAAAGATGTATAAGGCATTAGCCCAACAATCTTCGCAATAATCAAAGATTTGGTTCGTCTTGTGGAGAACGAGAAGACTTCCGCTTACTCGAAAAATGGTGCATTTTTGAGGAAAGAAATTGTCAATTTCTTAACCTCTGGAAAAACATTTGCAGATAGTCGCTCAAAAGCGTAAATAGTCTCCAAGACAGCCCTAGCAGACTTCTCTATAACTACAGCATATGAGCAGTCCAGCTCTCATCATGCCTGAGATATTCTGCGCAAATAGGTTACTTTTCGCGTCGGTTTTTTCCCTTCTGCGCATGCTGGTGAACCGCAGCGAGACGCTGAAAAGCCAGCAGAATAAGTATATGTTGTAAACAAAATTGTCTTTGCAAAGAAGTTTGTAGCTTCAAAGAAGAATCAATCTATTCGAAGTTACAGCAATTTGAAAAAATTTTTTGCAAGTGCCCGGGAACTTTCTCTAAGACCTAATAGAAGCAGTCAAAAGTGGATTTCAAGCTAGATTTGTATAATTTAGCACTGAAACTGAGAAATTCTCAGGAGAAATGTTTGCCGCTTGAAGCTCTTGGAACTTTTCTTTCGAGACCAAGCTCCCTTTGCTTCTTTGTTATAAGAGGCAGAGATGTGATTTCTGCGAAGTAAAAGCGGTTAAAAGTGGACTTCAAGCGAGCTTTTGTATAATTTAGCATTGCAACTGAGAAATTATCAACAGAAAGGCACTGCCGCATAAAGCTCCTGCAGGTTTCCTCCTTTCGAGACCAATTCTCCTCTGCTCTTTTTGGTTTTTTGAGGCAGAAGTACGATTTTGTTTTCGCAATTCGA